AGGGGGGGAGGGATGAGAGAAATGGGGGGGACTGGGAAATAGAAAGACAGGATCATAGAGGTTTACAACATCCCCCTCCCCTAAAAATAAAGGTGATCACGGACAGAGTGAGCTTCCCCTACTCCACCCCCTTCCCCTAGGTCCCCCCCAGAGAGACGTGAGCAGTAAGAGAGAGAGAGAGAAAAAAATAGAGATATAGATATTCTTTTGGCGTACCTGAAGAATACAATGGTCTCCCATAGGTAGAGTCGAAGAGTATTCAAGCTGTACATTGTTTGGTTTTGTTTGTTTGTTTGTTTGTTTGTTGTTATTCTTTTCCAGATCCTGGTGGGATTTTTTTTGTAGTCCAAATGAGTTCTGAGAGCCCAAAAAAATAATAATAATAACAATAAAAAATACTAAACGATGAAATCAAAGCAGCTCTCTCTCTCTCTTCTTCTCGCTGTCGGCTTCAAGTGAGACTTGCAGATGCAGCGAGCGCTATTAGGGGGAATCCAGAACTGGGAACAAGATGTTGGAGAAGCGAGCTTGGCGTCCAGCGGTGCAGAGCCCCCCGTTGGGGCTGGAGGGGGGGGGGGGGGGGGAGTGGAGTGGAGAGAGCCAGCCAGCGAGGATGCTCCTAGGCGGGTACCGCGGACAGCGGCATGCAGCCGGATGGTCAGCACCACGGACAGCGTCCGGGCTTTTTCCAGGACCGTGAAGAGTGGAAACTCCAAAGCGCGCGTGTGCCTTGTCGTTTGGGGGTGGGTATGTTTTTCCTTTTTCCCTTCCTTTTCTTTTTTTCCTTGAACCCTCGTTTTCTTTTTTTAAAAATTGTCTTTTTTCGGCTTAAATAAAAATTTAGCTGAAGGAGTTTGGGATGGAGAGGAGGGGGAGGAAGAGGAGGAAAAAAAATCAGAGCACTGTCTTCAGACAGTTGGATTGGGTGAGCATCTTGGCACAGAATGAGAGAGAGATGGAGAGAGAGATGGAGAGAGAGAGAGAGAGAGGGAGAGGGAGAGGGAGAGAGGCTTTATGGCCCTGGCCTGGGGGTGGGTAGGCGAAAGCAGTAGAATCTTGGAGATGTCTCAGGCTGGTGCATCACAGTCCCGGGATCCCGCTCCTCTGTCTCCGTTCTGAACGGCTGTTCCTCTTTCCTGCTATCTATCTCTGTGTGCTTGATCCCCGCCGAATAAGTTATGATCGCTGCAGGAAAGAGGTCCTATAGCTTGAGACAGCACAGGGCAAGTTTCAAGCAGCGTCTGGGCTGGGGAGTGTGTATGTGTGTGTGTGTGTAGTTGTTGTCCACAGCCCCCCACTAGGGCTCAGCAACCCTCCTGCATCTCGGTTGTTTTTGTTTTTGTTTTTTTTTTATGAGCGTGTCCCCATCTCCCTTTGGCCAGGATTGCCTTGAAAAACCAAACCAAAACAAAACCCCAAAAAACCTTCAGACTTTCTTACTGCATTAATTTAACACGCTGGCAGCCAGGACAGGGGCTGGGGAAGAGGAGGGAGAGGAGCCTGGTGGGAGGGGGGTGGAGGGGGCGTAAGGAAAAGGGAGGAAAACTCCTTAATATCTTCAAACCCTCTCACTGAAGGTGTTCATTCCCCCGCCCCTTGGAAAAGAAAAAGACCACAACCGCCCCCCCCCCAAATCTCCTTCCAGTATTGGGCCAATCAGGTGTGAGGCTCTGGGCTGAGTTTAACCCTTGAAGTGCTGGGTATGATCCTGACTTCTCCACCCCACCAGGCCCTGGGCTTCTTTGCTAGAAGTCCTTGGGATAAGGGAAGATCATAGAGTTATTCTCTTGTGGTCTCTCAAAAACTCATTTATTATTATTATTGTTGTTGTTGTTTTATTGTTATTTTAAAAACAGAAATAGTCTTTTGTGAGTAAAATACCTTTGGATTATAGTCCAGACTGGCTTCTGGGCTCAGTTTATCATCATCAGTATCATTACTATTTTTTTAAGGGGAACAGTTGAATGCAATTTCTGAAATTCTTTAGATCGCAGAAGTTCACTGGAGAAGAAGAAGATTTAAAAAAAAATCGGGTGGAAAAAAGAAATCTCTTTCCAGGACTACTGCACCAAGGAATGTTAGAAAAACATAAAAACAAAACAAAACAAGCCCACAAACAGATTCTAGGACCAAGAACGAGTTGTCCTGACTGCCAGGGTTGTGAGAGAGAAGGAAAAAGATCCCCTCTCTTCCAACTGGATTTTGTACGATGGGGGGGAAACGCAGCCACCGGGAGCTTCTGGTTGGCTCCAAATTAATGGAAGAGCTAAGGTAAAGCTCTGGGCTCTCTGTTCTCTCTTTATCCTGCTGGCCTCTGTCTTCCCACCTCTTCCAAGGCTCTGAGACCTGATATTCACTCTGCAGCACATCTGGGGAGATGGATTAATCAGATTTTCTCCAAGCTACGGGGACTTTAGTGGATTAATAGCCTCCGTAGGATTTTCTGACTGATTTGAACTCTGTAGGACTCTGGGAGGCCTTTATTTCCAAAGAAAGACAGAGAGAGAGAGAGAGAGAGAGAGAGAGAGAGAGAGAGAGAGAGAGAGAGAGAGAGAGAGGAAAATCCTCTATTCAGTACTTTAGCAACTCTTTCTTTGGAAAGATCAGAAATGGATTCTTCTCTCAAGAAAAGACTTTTCTGGAAGGCTTTCTTTCTCTCTCTCTCTGTGTGCACTTGCACACACAAGTGCATTTGCACACATACTGGGTCTTGAATTCAGGGTATGGGCCCTGTCCTTTAGCAATTTCTGCTCAAAGCTCAAAGTGCTCTACTACTTGAGCCACAGTCCCAGTTCTGGTTTTTGCTGGTTAATTGGAGATAAGGGTCTGATATACTTTTCTGCCCTAGTTTGGTTTGAACTGTGATCTTCAGCTCTCAGCTCCTGAGCAGCTAGGATTACAGGCCTGAGCATTCATGCTTGATTCCCGCACTGTCACGTGCTTCAAATAATCAAATTTATTTTTCACAGTCATAGCTGGAGGTCAGTACTAGTCCCTTTGCACATGTGTTTGTGTATGTATGGTAACATTTGGGATGCAAGAAGCATGTTATTTCTCTGTGTATAGATTGGGCTTGTGATTTGTGTGCTGCTTCATTCCAAACTGAATTTCCAGTGCAGAAGTATATTTGTACATTTGTGTTTGTAACTGGGTCTCGGCTTGCGTAGGCACATATATGTTTATGTCATGTATATTGTCACGTAGACATTGAAGACACACACATCTATGTGTGGCAATGTGGTGGCCCTCAACACACTGAAACAAACTGTGAGCTCATACTTTTGTTCTTGCTTTTATTTATTTCTTTAGGTCAGTTGTGGGGCTTGAATTCAGGGCCTGGGCACTGTCCCTGAGCTTCTTTTGCTCAATACTAGCACTCTACCACTTGAGCTACAGTGCCACTTCCGGTTTTCTGGTGGTTCATTGGGGATAAGAGTCTCAGGGACTTTCCTGCTTTAAATCACGATCCCCAGATCTCAGCCTCCTGAGTAGCTAGGATTATAGGCGTGAGCCAAGGATGCCTGACCTTGTCCTTGCTTTTCATCTGGTTAGGGAGACCCTTCGTGCCTGGATGTGAATGCAATGGATGGAATTTTCTTCTTCTTCTAGAGAAGGAGTGTGTGTGTGTGCGTGCGTGCATGTGACTGTGCTGTTTGTGAATAGGAAAGGCTCCCAAGCCAGTGTAGGAGGTGAGACTAATTACTCCCTGGCAGACAGAGCACCTGTTTTCTAGTAGGCGTGGATTTATTATGAGACGGATCTTTTCATTTAATCAGTATATGAATAATATGTATACAAAGGATCAGGGAAATGAAATCATATGGAACAAACAGTACCTCACACTGCTGAAATGCACACTCACTTCAAAGGTTCAGTGGGAAAAGGATTTATGCTGTTATTCTACACTTCTTACTCCACTTCTCAATTATTATTATTATTATTATTTTATTTTTTGTTGGTTGTGGAGCTTGAACTCTGGGCCCTGAGCTCTGTCCCTCAGCTCTTCAGCTCCAGGCTAGCGCTCTACCACTTGAGCCACAGCTCCACATCTGGTTTTCTGAGTGGTTTATTGGAGATAAGAGTCTCACAGACTTTCCTGCCTGGGCTGGCTTTGAATAGTAATCCTCAGATCTCAGCCTCCTGAGTAGCTAGGATTACAGGCATGAGCCACCAACACCCAACAAGGACTGCGTTTTTATTTTGAGAGAAGATACCACTGGAGGGCTTTGAGCAGAAGAGCAGCAGATCTGACTTCGCATTTTATCAAGATTTTTCTAGCTATTGGATTTAGAATAAAATTTTCTATGTGTGTGAGTGTGTGCGCATTTGTGTGTGCTCACGTGTGCATATGGGTGTGTGTGTGCAAAGATGTGATGGAAGATAAGGAGACTAGTTAAAAGGTACAAAAAATCCATGTAAGAAATTCTTAGTGTATTTGTTCAAAGATGTTTGGACAACAGAGAAGCTTTTATTTTGTTTGTTGTTCAAAGCTTTTATTTCTAGAAGGGAAAATTATCCCCGAAGAGAAGAATTCCCTTACCCTCTTCATGAGTCTTATGATGTAGAAGAAAGCAGGTATTTACCAACAGTAAAAAGAAAGGTCTGCCTGCTGGGTTTTGCTCCAACAGATGATGTGGATCCAAAAGGATCCAGTTAATCAACAAGGGAAGGCTTTTACTTGGATTATTACTTGTTAAACTTGTTATGTATAAGCTAGGGGCTGGTAGTTCAAGACTGTAATCCTAACTAATCAGGAGGCTGAGATCTGAGGATCTCAAGTGAGGAGCTAGCCTGGACATAAAAAATCTGTGAGGCTCTTAACACCAGTGAGCCAGCAATAAGCACAAAGTGGAGGTGTGGTTCAAGTGGTAGAACACCAGCCTTGATTTGGAAAGAACTAAAGGACAGGGGCTGGGAATGTGGCTTAGTGGTAGAGTGCGTGTCTAGCATGCATGAAACCCTGGGTTTGATTCCTCAGTACCCCATAAACAGAAAAAGCCCAAAGTGGTTCTGTGGCTCAAGTGGTACAGTACTAGGTTTGAGCAAAAGAAGCGCAGGGACAATGCCCATGCCTTGAGTTCAAGCTCCAGGACTGCTTAAAAAATAACAAAAACAAAATTAAAGGATAGTACTCAGATCCTGGATTTGAGCCCCAATATTGGAACACACACACACACTCACACACACACACAAATTTGAAATGTGTTTCTACTGAATATGAATCATTTTGCATCATCTTAAAGCAAAAACAAAAAATCCACAATTGTAAGCAGAAT